AATGCCGAGCTGAAGTCCACAAAGAGGCCTGGTGTATAGGCCCCTGGGGAGTCAAGGTGTTGCAGGATGTAATGCAGTGCCATGTTCACTACATCTTCCACTGACCTGTTTGCTCGGTAGGCAAACTGCAGCGGGTCCAGCAAGGGGTCTATGATGTCCTTCGGGTGGGCCAACACCAGTCTCTCAAAGCACTTCATGACCACAGACATCAGGGTGACAGATCTGTAGCCATTCAGTCCACTGATGGAGGGTTTCTTGGGGACCAGGATGGTGGTGAAGCGTTTGAAGCAAGGTGGGACGTCACACAGCTCCAGTGACCTGTTGAAGATAAGTGTGAAGATGGAGGCCAACTGATCAGCACAGGAGGGGGGGGGAAGGGGTCACATCCTCTGGGCTTGGTGCCTTTTTGATCTTTTGCACATCCTTTTCACCAATCTTCAGGGTTGAGGGTAAGAGAAGTGATCATGGGGGGAGCAGCTGCTGGGTCTGAGGTGAGGTGGGTGAGGGGTTTGGAGCTCTGCTTCTCAAACCTACCGTAAAGCATATTCAGGTCATCTGTCAGTTGATGGTCTTTCATCAAGTGGGTGGGGAGGTTCCTGTAGCTAGTGACGTTTTTGAGGCCACACCAGACAGATGAGGGGTTGTTGGCTGCAAACTGGTTTTTCAGCTTTTCATAGTGGCTCTTTTTTGCTACTCTGATCTCCCTTGTTGAAGTGTTCTTGGATTGCATATACAGTATCCTGTCCCCACTTCTGTAGGAGTCCTTTTTGGCACAACAAAGCTGCTTGAGTTTTACCGTGAACCAGGGCTTCTTGTTGTTGTATGTGCAGAAGGTCTTGGTGGCCACACGTCCTCACAAAGGCTGATGTATGATGTCACATCGTCAGTGAGTTCATCCAGGTCTGTAGACACAGCCTCAGATACACTCCAATCTGTGCAGTCAAAGCAGACCTCTAGCTCTGACTTTGTCTACTCAGTACATCTCTTAACAGTTTTGACCGCAGACTGCACAGATTTAAGTTTCTGCCTGTAGGTTGGGATGAGATGGACATTGCTGATATTCTAATACAACTTTCGGACCAAAAATACTGTTTATACATTGGTTTTTTTATGCCTGGTTAAACTGGCCTTTAACTGGCTTCTGATGGCTTTCCTACTGCCGACTGACCTGGCTTGGCTCTCTACCAGATGAGCTTGTTTCCCCTTTGGTACATCAAATTTGACGCCATGATGGTACTGTAGGCTATGTCAGGCTTCACTAATTATGTTGCCTTAGGTGTATTTGGAAAAAACTAGAGTCATAAATCCTCATTTCTCATATGCTGACAGGGTTCTGGTCCCTGTGCCATTTTCATATATAAAGTGTTGTTGCACAAACCTACAAGTCATGACCAGTCTTTTTTTTTTCTGTAGAAATACGATCTGGTGGAAGAGGGCCTAAGGACGGACCTGTGAGGCAGCTGCCCCTTTACGACACGCCTTATGAGCCAGCTGAGAACGGAGGAGACTTGGACCCCGAGTGCTCACGCTGCCCAAGAGAAAGTCGACTACCCCAGGATGATGAGCGACCTCCCGAGGAGTATGACCAGCCCTGGGAGTGGAAGAAGGAGAGGATTTCCAAAGCCTTTGCAGGTACAGCAGAGAGACAGTACATTGACCTTTATTATGCTAAGTCAGTGCGACTCAAAACGAACGTCAAAATACTTTATAAGACAACAAGAAGTAGCTAAAACAAGTAAGTAAATTAATTGCATAGAACAAAAGGACACTTGAGGAAAATGTATGCAACTTCCCACATTGCTTTTTATTGCAGAATCATTTTAAAAGTAAACCTGTTCTTGAAAAAGGCAGAAAACCATCTCTTTTCATCCTTATTCAAATTCAAATGTTTAATCCTCAAAGGAATTGTGGTGTTTGAGCTCTACCTGTTGCACTCTGTTAGTTCTTATGTCAAAAGCTCAGACAGTGAATTTCTTGTTCACATTCAGCTTAACACTGACTGCACTTCAGTCAGGACTCCCTTTTTAAAATTTCAACCTTTTTAATGCAACAGTTTCTCTTCTGCTTAAGTAACCCAGGTGTTGTCCAGCGCTAACAAGTTTAACTGTGGCTTCTGTCAGGTTTGAGGGTTCTGCTACTGCTTCTGCTGCTTTAAACGCTGTTAATGCTTTCCCCCCTCACCCGCTAAGTTCATTTGCAGGTGTCCAGTTTACTGTGTGCTGTTTTGATCCAACTGCTGATTGGTTGTGCAGGTGCATATAGATGCTGGTAGTTATTGTGGTTTGAATGCTTCAGCATGGCTAACACAGCCATAACAATATACAGGGCTGTTCCTGGAAAGAATATGGCTTTGGATAAATATGCACTCCCCCCGAAAAAAGCCAAACCTTTTAAGTAATTTGAGAGAAGAGAATGATCAACCTTTGACTCTATTTTCATCGCCCCTTTTCTCTTTATATTTTTTTCTTTTTTATCCTTGAACAGCACTGCTTTGTTATGACTGCATTAGCTACGAGGGCTCTGTAAGTGGCACTGGATCAGGTCCCCACAGAAGGAAGGACTGCACCTCTAAATCCCTCACAGGTACCACTGGAGAAGGGGCTGGGGAATGTCTTTTGTCATTCTGTATTTATTCATGATAGAACTGTAACAGTGATGCCTGAACCTTCTGGGTTATACTAAATCTTTCAGTTTGATGTTTATTTCTTACACTGGTTAGAAATATAACTGAAATTGATGTTACATGAAGGATATTAGCTTCTTTAGGATTTGACACTGCAAAAATGATCATAATTTCTCATTTGATCAAAATCAAATCTTCCAGTAAGTTGAGGAAAAGATCACCCACTTCAAATTCAAATCATCTTTCTTGGAGCATCCTGATTTGATTGACATTATCAGGTTGCTACTAACATGATTGCCCATTACCTGAAGTGGACTAAAAATGGCACAGCCACTATGGAAATTCTCCTCGAATCAGCCTTTTTGGTGGACACCAGTGTAACAAGTACAAGTGCAGTAACACTTCTTGGTGCTCAGGAGAGGATGTGATGATTTGACCCATCGCTCCCCACTCCACCTCTAAAGAAGAATAATTAACACTGCAGCTAGAAATACACTAAAACTGTGTCTTTCCATCCATGGGGATGTTCCGCACACAAACCTACAGCTGTCTAAGAGATTTCTACTGTCCTGCTAGCGTACAAGGCACAAATGAACACGCCAAGCAACCAGTGAACACAAAGAGCCTGGCTGTTATTGATGTGCTTTCCCAGTTATGTGGTGAACATGGAATTCAAAGCATGAACTTCAAATAGCAAATGTTAACAAGAACAAGCATAAAATAAATAAATAACCATTTTTCATAAGTGTCACATACATACATTAGATGTACTGAAATAAAAGATTATTTTCTGTGTCTGAACTGTAAACAGTTTTGCAGAGCTTTATTAGTTTTAAGATTCAGCAAGCCTTGAGTATGAAATTATTTCACATGATGACATCAGGATGACTATATCATCAATGAATGAGCCATTAAAAATATTAACAAAATATTTTACCCTTGGAAAAGTGCTTGAGCTTTAAAGTCATGCAAATCAAATCTCACAAAGACACAATATGAAAACAATGCACATGTACATTTTTGCCATTTACTTTTATTATCATTTGCAGATATATCTCTGTTTCATTTGTCTTTTCATTTCCCTTTGAAAACACATCCTACTATTTCCCTGGTATTTTAATAAAACAATATTTATTACAATACAGAGATTGAAAGAGCGATTAAACCCTTATGGTGTAGTGCTGACTGACTCACTGGGGATTGGTTTAGATGGATCTAAACAACTATTGGATCCCATAGATTCAATCAGCAGTTCCACATTGATGGACAAACCCTGGTAAATCTGATGGCACCGTCTAATGAAGAAGTTCCAGCTGGGCTATTTACACAAATGTTAATGTTACCATCTAAAATTTTTATAATGCCACAATGAGCATTCTCACTTAGGCTGAATTTCTGTTAAACTGACAAGGTGAACCATAGAGACAGCTGTGGCAGTGGAGCAGAGAAAGTCAAAGATGGTGCTGAACTGGAGACTTTGATATGTAACGTGTTTACATGTGTGTAAAGTCTCCGTGTGGCATGAAATGGTAGCGATTGCTTAGAATAGAATGGATTGATTCCATTGTGACTGCAGCTCTGATTTACAAAGAGTGTATGTTTGGACAGGATTAAATCAAATTTTAATGCTATATGTGCACACTGTATGTGTCATATGTCTAAATATTCATTCTCCATCTTTGTATTTTTCCACAATGTCTTTGTCACTTAATTCCTGTTTCTGATTTATTTGTGTATTGTGGACACTGAGGTCCTCAGAGGAGTTGCTCTGTTCTGCCTGTGATTAGTTAAATAAGGGATGCTGCATTCTTAATCACTTTCCTTCTATCCCTCATTATTTTTCTGTCAAGCAGCACTCAGAAGTTTGTTTAGGATGCCATTTACTAACACATCCCTCATTCAACTTGCCTTTTTTGCAGACAGCTTCCCTCTTTTGATGATGATTAATTTAATTTCTATTGGATGTCAAAGCATTGGCTGAGAATTGGAGAGATAAGTCTTTAAGTTGTCTTTTAGAGAGGAAAGCTGCAGTATAAAAAGTGCTTTGATTAATTGCACGTCTTCATTCTGTGTTATGTAGAAATAATTCCCCACTATTTGGATGGCAGAAAAAGGAAGAAGGATGAGAAAGATGTCTCTGGGACAAGCCTTGTCAACACAGGCTTGTTGCTCTTGCAGGTGTCAGTGTAGCCAGACCTTGGATCCAGACATCAAGGGGCTTAGAGAAAGTTTCCCACCTTTCAGGCTTGAATGTGTGTGCCTGCCCCCATAGCTCAGATCTTTGCAACCAGCTTACTGCCAATGTCAAGGCATGATGCACTGCTTCAGTATTTAAGTCCACTTGTGAGCCAGTTCTTTAGGACTGCTGACAGTCCCATAATTCCCACTTCATAAATCATCCCTGCGTCACCTCCCTTTAAGAGAGAACTTAGAGTCTGCCATCAGATTTTGCCAGGTTAGCCTGGCCATGCCCTGGAGTTTCCCATCTTAAACATCTGTATGAACTATTAGGAGCAAACTGGCACAGTGAACAGCTGTTTTACAGCACCTCTGTTACTGATGATGAATTTCACATCTCATAGTGGGTCTATTGAATTGTTTTCATACTCGTGGAGTGTATCAGTTTTTACACTTGAGTCATAAAGTCGTGGGCTACTGTAAGTAAAGAGCGTGAGACATCGGGACATGCTTTTCTAGTAGTGCTTGGATTTCAGGGTTGGTTAAAAGCGTTATTTTATACTTTCTTGAGTTGAACCTGTAACTAGATATTTTGGCTTTTCACTCCAGCAGCCATGTGGTTGTTACAGCCTTTTTAGAGATATATTTTAGTTGTTGGTGCCCTCTTTGGAAAAGTAGTCAATATAAAAAAAGGTTAGACTTTTTACAGAAGTATAGTTTTGCAGCTGCCAAAAATCATGCAAATTGAAAACAAATCATTCAAGTGTTTGAATATGTAAATGTATTAAGAACATTATTTATCTATAAGAAAATGTCAGATTCTTTTCAGCCTAGCTCTTATTTTCATAATCAGATAATTACCATTTTGCAACACTCATTTGTATTTTAACATTTTACTAATGCAGTTCTGTGCAGCGTGTTGTGTATCCCTCATTTCAGTTCATTGCCACTTTAGTGTTGTAAATCTGATTGTTGAGCTGGAGATTTCTGAACAGCTCTGATTGTTTGACTGCTTATGTTGTTTTCCCAACTTGACCCCAGCTGCCGTGTCCCCAGGTCTCAGTGGTTAAGTTAGTAAGTAAATGTGTCACTAGGTTGCAGTTTCAGGCCTGATTCAAGCAGTTCTCTAGCTACAGTAGATGACCTGTTTTGAAGCCAGCTGGACCATAGCTCATTGTGTTTTTAGGTTTCTAGAGAGCAATTTTCCTCAGTTATATTTCTGTACAGTAGTTTCTACAGCATTTTATGGCTGTGTAATATCAATGACTAATGATACTGTTCGCTGTTTGGATTTCAGAGGTATTTTCCTGCCTTCACAGTTCATGTTATAACTATTATATGGGAAGGTATCTGCAAACAAAGTATTAACAAATAATGAAAATAAGACAATGGGGTGGGTGTTAAAAAAGGGGGGGGGTGCTGCCTATGCTCTCCCTCCATGGTAAACTACAATAGTGCAGTCTGCAAAAATGACTATTTGTCTTCATTAATGATAGGGAAAGGAGAGCAGGCTAATGCTCCCTGCTGTAGCCCCGTTTTCCTCAGCTGTCCCTATCACTGCCTGCAAGCTTGCCTCTTGACAACACTTGGTCTGGTGTTATTATTCACTGTTGGGCTATTCCCTGACAGGTACGCAATGGAATGTAAATTCCCTGCCTTGTTAAGGTGTTGGAAAGCTGTGTATTTGTGGTTTGGTTAATCACTCATCCTTGCTGTTCCCCCTTTTGAGAACGAACACACACACACTTGTCACAACCTCTTCCTGGCTGCCAAGTAGGTGATGGATGAGTCTGGAGGTGAAGAGTGAGGAAGACACATTAGAATTTGACTATGTGAAGGCTCGTGTAAACCCATATGCTTTGTCAGTGGCATGCTCACTCACACACCCAGACATGGACATGCCGCCATCGGAAATCTGAGCCTCAACACAGCAGGACTGGGATTGAGAGCTATTGTTACTTAATATCCTTGCCCTATGTTACCAGCTAGTAACTTGCTTCACTTGGCTCCTGGCCAGCAGGGTACACTGCATTTAACATGGGAGATAAGAGAAGGCGCTGTCACTTGCTCCCTCAGGTCCTGGGGTGCTTTATGGTTTTTTTAATGAATCTTCATGGGTTTAACAACCCAGAAATCTGAGGCTCAAGTGTAATGACCTAAAATAAATAATTGATTCGGTTACACTGCACTAGTTATTTTTACCAGGGTTAAAGCCAGTTGTTTTGTGAGTGCCATGGTTCCCGCTTTCTCTGCTTGGATGATCCTTTTTCCCCAGCACTGTCTGTCACTCCTCGGCTCTGTATCGCCCTGCTGGCCTCTGCTGCAACACCCTGCTGATAACCTTCCTGACAGCCCTCTTTCATGAGCCTCAAATGTGTCCTGCCATCTTTCTCCGAGAGCTGCTGTGGGTCTTATCTTCATTTAAACACATTGGCCAGACACAACAGCACTGTAAACCTCCCTCAAAAAATATAGAAGCAGCACATCACCAGCAAGGCCCTGTGGAAGCTCTGGCTGTCTGGCCGTCACTAACCTATCTTTCCCTTCTCTCACTTTATGGAAGAGCAGAGTAAAAAACCTTCCTGTCATCTCATCTCCATCACCCATTTTCTATGTGCCACTTTCATTTTTAATGCAAACACATGGTCAAATCTGTGTTTTGAAAGAGAATCAGCCAGGATAATGTGACTGTTACAGTAGGCAGAGAATTATGAGGTGGCATTTCAAATCCTCTGGAGCATTACGCAGTTATCTGTAATAATCTGGGTGTCTATGGAACAAACATATCTTCAGAATAGGCTGGTTTTGTGTTCTGAGCTCTTCTGCTCATAATATGTGGCATAAACATTACAATCTTCCTTCTTGTTTTGAATATGCATGCAATTAGCCAACCAAATTAAGCAGAACTAAATTAAATGGCTTTGGTGGAAACAAGCATAGCTGGTGATTTATGGCACTGCACTGTTTACAGGGATGAAGTGCCATGGGCTAATGAAAAGCCTGGGCAAATAAATACCTGGCTTTAAAAATAGAGCTGTGCCTGAAAAAACAAAGGAAAGATAAACTCCAATAAAGGAGGGACCCTTGTCCACTGTTCAAGTAGTGTCTGGTTCATTTGATGAACTGTACTCTCTCTATAGCTGTGAAGCTAATAATTAATCAGCTGCAGTGTTTACAACACTCCAGCTCACTGAATGATGGTTTTTAGACTCAGGACATGTGAGTGACACATGAAGCTGTTTTTGAATTTTCCTTTTCAAAGTCCTAACAGGACTGTGTTTGTGTAGTTAGCCTGAGTGACGGGTACTTTATTAATTTAGAATTGTTAATAGCCTCTATTCCTGTGTCAACAGGAGGCACTGTGTACAAATATAGATTGAGGATTATGCAGATGAGAGGTGGCATATTGAGCCAAATGCAATCAGAGTAAATGATGCATTTACATATTTCTTCAGAAGTAGTCCTTAGTCATTAGGATCAATAATCAATTTTTTCACATTTTCTTTGAAGAAAGTTACAGTATATACAAATTCTGCTGCCAGTAATTGATTTTTTCACATTTTCTTTGAAGAAAGTCGTATACAAATTCTGCTGCCAGTAATTACAATAATCAGAATCAGATCCTCCAAATTGTAGAAATAATCATGTTTTGTTTGGACCTCACCCTTTTGAAGCTCCTCTCAAAGTGCTTTGCAATGAACAGACTTAGTAACTTGATATACAGGTATAAGCAGATGGCCATAAATTTGTAAATAAATAAAATGCATTACAGGGACATATAGTGAGTGTTATTTACGATCTTCACAAGCAGTGAATGAGTTTATTTAGCATTGTGTTTATACAGTATGTTTCACAAAGGGTTCTGTGCTAAGATCTGTATGTGAAAATATCTGTAATGTTGTGGTGAGTCTTCAGGGTCCATATATAACAACTCAGTTGTGTGTCAGTCATGGCTGGTGTCTAGACCTAAAGTTGAATGTGTCACTGAATTTGTCTTTGAAGAATGGTACATGGTGTTAATATACAGTTGCCCGTGCAGCATCAGCGGCATGTAGGGTCAATTATTATTTAAGAGGGCTTTGAGACTTCCAGTATTTTTAAATATGTTACAAGATGAGAGAGATTCCAGTCACCCTGAGTTTTGCAGCAACAAAACGCCTGTCTGTTGAGGCAATTTACCTTGATTTTCAAAGTGCTATTATTTAGCTCTGCAACCAAGCACATCTGTGCCACACCAACCCCAAATCAGCCTCGTCCTTACTGTGGGGCTGCACGTTGCACACATCCTTCTGCTCCCCAATCGATTACACGCTAATCTGCAATTTGAAATGAGTATTAGGCTTATAATCCTATAGGAAGAGAGCCCTCTACTTCAACCCAAAGTACAGGAAGTTATATTATCTACCAAAGTTTCTGACCTTCTGTCTCCATTCCCCACATTCCATTTCCACTGCTTCACCACCCCACACCTCTCACATCAGGATTGTCAGCAAACGGCTCCTCCTTCCAGCCATGTTTTTCTAGATTAGCCCCCTGACATTGTGGGTCCAGCTATTTAATAGCTTGTCAAATGTAATATTCTCCTGTTTCCCCCCGTCATCTAGCTTGCAGATATTGCTTCTCATTAGCATGTCCTGTACCAGTAACATGCTCCAATTCCTTGCAGGAAAAATTATGTTCATCCTCCCACTGAAAACCAGCCTGTATACCAGTGAATAAAAGCCCATGACGCACTAATGGTTCTAAATACAGCAGCAGTCTTTTCATCTTAGGCAGCTGAAGTAATACTTAATCAACCCCCTTTGGATAAAAATGGAACTCTTTAAAAATCTGACAAAGTAATGGCTGTCATTCATTAAAGAAATATTCTGTCAGATATAGACTTATTAATCTTGAGCCTTTTTGTACAGTAATAACATTTTTTTGTAATTATTATATAGCAAACAAAAGTTATAAGCACTCTAGAAAGAATGAGCAAAACAGAAACAAAAGCGTTTAAAGGACGACTTCAGCAACGAGTTGTCGTGTCCTGTACTCACTATCTGCTGGCTGATTAACATCATCGGCTGAGTTGAAGAAGACCGTCATTGCCCTAATGTGACTGTTGTGATGCGCAGTATAGCTGGCTCACTGATCATTTCAGAGCACTTCAGGCTATCACTGAAGGGTTTGTTTTTTGTCCATGTTAACCCAATTCATGTTATAAGCAGCAACCAGACTGATAAAATCACACTGAATTTGATTTATTTTGATTAATTTCAAACACTGCAGTAAGATCTCCAGCACCATGGACAGTGGCATTGAAATGTTCTTTGTGAGTTTTCTTACTGGAAGATATGTTTGGATATTTATGTAAAAAAAGAGTTATACAATCATACGATTCTTCAGAGGAACATACGGTAGCTTTCCACAGCTACTACAGCTGTATTGTGTTTCTTTATTGGTCTTGGCTTCTAACAGTCTTTTTCTTGGATGACAAAAAAACATTCCCCTCTCCAACAGATTTATTAGGTATCCTCAGCTATTTAACATGTGGCCCTGCTTCCATGACAGATAGGCTCTTACAAGACTGCTCAATTTGCCCTAGTAATACCCCAGCTGGACATACATTATTTAAGGGGCAAAGTCTGGGAAGTGTCCACTGCTAGAATGGATTGCTCTGAGGTTTGTTTCAGTGAAGGATATTCTCTACATTGTTGTTTATCTTAATATACAGTAGAGGTCCACAGTCTTTTTTTTTTCAATTCCAGAACTAAGAATAAGCGCAGAAGGCTTGCTGACATACTGTATCAGTAGCTGTAGCTGAGCTCAAGGCAGCTTTATATATTATAGTCTATACTTTTAAGGCATGTACAATACTTACAAATAGTAAATGTCTTATACTCTTTCACCAACTGGGGGGTCCAGCAGCTTGCTCAAGGCCAGGAATCGAACCACCAATATTCTGATTATGAGATGAGCCGCTCTGCATCCTGAGCCACAGCCCTAGAAATAGAAGTAGCGATTTAGAATTTTGCATTGTCATGTTCTCAGTGCATCTCTGGATGCCAAGGTGAGACCAGTGTCAGTCGGGTTGGGTCTGAACCTTAGTTCATGCTGGGGCAGTGGAGAGGGGAAGGCTCAAAAAAGACACAGCTTTTCAGGTGGGGTTGGTGTTCAATAACATTTTATTGAATTTGAGTCAAGACTTAAATCTGTATGCTGAATGCAAAACCTTTCACATCCCTTCTACTTTCTGACATCGGTTTTTCTAGTTTAGGGGTTTTAATTAACTTGGAACTTGGTCCAAAGTGAAACCTGCTATCAAAGAACCCAATTCAATTCTTAGATCTAACTTATCTTCTTTTTCAATCCTGTTTCATTCCTTCTTTTTCTAGTTTACAGCTGCTGCCGATTCTTGGATCACAGTATAAGGCAGCTTTCTACCACAATGCTGACATCTTTTACTCTTACTTATTTTTCACTTAACCCTTCTTCCTTGTCTTTTTTTCTTCTCTGATTTCTGTCATTGCTTTCCTGTCCTCACCTCTGGTGTTGTTGTCCATTTATGCCTCTTGTTGCTGTGCTCTCCTTCCCTCTGTCTCTACTTTGGTGACTTGGGTGACACTTGCAGTAGAGATTAAAGTGATCAAGGACCTACCGTGGCCCCCTCCTGTCGGGCAACTCAACACCAGCTCTCCCCTAGTGGAGGAGCTGGAGTCTCCCTTCCAGACAGCTCAGCCCTCGCCAGGACAGACAAGCTGTGACCAGCACCACCATGGTGGGTGTTGGTGTTCACATTGTCCATCATCTTTCCCATCAGTTACCCCCATGTCTGTTTGTCCATCCATCCAACACTCCCATCATCTACTAGTCCATCCATTCATCCACTTGTCCATGCTAACACTTCCTTCAGTTTATCTATCTATCTATCTGTTTTTATTAATGAACAGTTTGAATGGTAATGAATGTGTGCTATTCTAAATCAGTAGCATTCAAATGTGATACTTAGTGTTATTTGTATTAAATGAAAGCAGTCACTTATATCTGCTGCTTGGTGATGACATAATGAAAGAGTTCACATCTCATCTCATAGAAGCACTGTATAATATGACTTTAGGTATTAGCACAGTAGTGGCTGACTTTTCCATCTGGATTACATGTGGCAGAAAATCACTAACTCTTGTGCAGGTTTTTGGGCTAAAGGCTCATTAGTTTTAATTGTGCTGAACTGCCTTCTGCACGCATAATTGCCATTCATTGTGACCCCCATTTCCTCTTGTCAACATACTCATAATGGTCCCAGATGTCCACAGTTGGCCCACAGTTCTTTACAAGTGGCTTATATGAATTGAAAAATCAGACTCATCAGAGGCAGTTTCAGTGCTTGACTCTCTTCACCTGAGGTTTAGCCATCTTTATCAACTTATCAAACAGTGGACAAATAATTCATCCAGCTTTCAACCAGCAGAGCTGGTAGTTGATTTTTTGAAGCCCTTCTACATGCTCACACTCTAACTGCTGTAATTACACAGAGAAAGCAGGACATGCAGCAGAACTAATGCCAGGAATGGGATTTTCCCTGGCAAAGTGGGAAGACATAGACTGGGGCCATGTAAGAGGACACCACTGTGTGCTGTAGGCGAGGACAGAGGAAGGAGTTGATTTATGTCCATAAATCCATGGGAAAGGTTCTGGTTCCCTCTGTGATGTGACTGGGTTTAAGGTTGGCGTCCAACTGTAAACTGATCCCCTCTCTGTCTGAGCCAGAGTGGCCCCACTCTACAGCTACAGGGTCAGAGGTCACAGTGGCAGACATGGGGGTGGTGATGACCTCCACAACCCTAGTGAATACAGTTACAATGCACTCTCTCGACCTCAGTGTGCATACTGAGACTTACATACTTGACTCAGTCAGGGTAAAGAGCTGTGGGTTTGTATGTGTTTATAAAGGCTGTTGTGGTTTGTTGTACTAATAGACCCGGAATAAAACAATATCCACTACAGTTCAGGGAAATCTGCCTTATCTGCTCAGTGTCAGTATCAGAATTTTAATGCAGCTTGACAGGACAGATATTACATCTACGTATAAATGGGGGGCACTTTTGTCCAAGTATAATAAATAGCTTCCGCCTTTGTTTTATGCTATGAATTAATTATCAGTAGTTTGAAACATTTATTTTACCTTCTCTTTCCTCTAAACTACAGCAGGAAGACTAAAAAGCAAACAAAGTAATTAAAAGTTACCCAGATTTAATTTTAAATAGATTCACCAGCTGACACTTTCGAAGGTCATTCCTTTGTCTTGGGAAACCTAATTATAGTGTCAGCTGGAGACTTATATAAAAGAAGAAAGCATAGATGACAGAATCATGAGCGTTTAAAATCCTGTCCTCCAAAAAGTCATTATAAAAACCATCCAACAAATCATTATTTGAGTGCCTGGTGCACATAATGAATATCAACATGAAAGTGAGTGATTTTGTTTGTTTCTTTTTTTAAGCTACCGTTACTTGGAGTATCATGCCACACAGCACAATATTTTCCCTGTGCAGTGCATTCTAATGAGATGTAGATCTGTTAATCATTTCACGTGTCCTAGCTGGAAAACGCAATTTTCACCTCACAATACAGCGGTCGATGACACACATCGCCCCTCGCACTTTTCATCATTTGTGATACGAGTACTATTATTAAATGAGAATTAGTTAGCCAGCTTAATTAGAGGAGTTTTCACAGGAGCATGTACAGATGGAGAAGATGAGTAGTCAGGTTGTTCAGAAGCCTCAGTGTTGAATGTTTTGAATATTGTGCCTCTTATAGCCTAGTTTTTCTAATTCATTGTGTAGTGTTTCTTTATTTGAAATGCTTTTTTGTGACCCGCTGCTTTAAATCTCACCTTTGTATGACTTTATTTTGTCTCATCCTGTGCTCTGCTGTTTTCTGCTGCATTACATTGCAGTGCTTTATGTTGTGAATTGGTTGCAGTGTAATCATGGGAATGTCAATTTAGCCTCCATGTTTATCTGTGTCCCAGCCAATCAGCCACCTCTCTCACCCACTCTCCCTCACCCCAAACTCCTCTGTGTGTGTGGGTGTGTGTGTGTGTGGCTCTGTAAAGAAAGCTGTATGTATGAAGGGGGCCGGCCTTTCAGCCATCAGTCACCATCTGACTGACAGTTCAATCTCATACACAGATTCCATTTGCTGCACTTTACAAGCAGCAGTAGTCATGATACACACGCAGATAGCCCTGCGCATTTACGAATGCGCCTTTCTGTGTGAATGTGAGTAGACATGAGTGTGTTCAGTTGGATATACGCGCACACACCTGTCTTCCTTAAGCTGCCTCCCAGGCCTTTTGTTCTCCGTGGGCCAATCCTCTTGTCAATCTCCTGTCAGCCCTGTCTCGGACTCTGGGCTCCAGGCTCCAGAGAATGAAAGGGGAATGAGTTTACTTCATTCCCATTGATATTCAGCCTTAAAACATAATTCTACAACAGTTTGAAGCTGGTGCTGGTGCTTTTGCAATAGCTTGTAATCAAAACAGACATGGGTCCATTCGCACTTAAGCAAATAAACTGAAGGTTTTTTTTCCAGTGTGGAGTTTCTTCATGTGGTAATATTCTTCTCACAGAACTGTGCACTCTCCCTGTGGAAAAGTTGCAGCTGTGACAGGAAAGTTGATGGGGTGAGCCAGTCAACCATTTCTAGGTGGTGGAGTAAAAAAGGTTTTAATCAAGGTCAAATGAAGCACTGATTGTGTTGGATTTGGGCAAGAGGAAGAATTAGTGTGGGAAGGATGGAGGAAATGTGAAGAGCTGAGGTCAGGCAAATGGTTGAGTGTGCTGCAGATACACTGAGAAATGGACTGTGTAGGGCAACGCAGATACTGTAGTACCCTTCTTTTTCACAGTAGCAGATATTTTTTCATTGGTGAACTGAAAAAGAGAAATCATATCATGCTCAAAGTGCATTTTATATATTGACGTTTAAGTACATAAACTTTGGCAGTTTTGCTGCAGGAACATACAGAAGCAGTGACTGATAACCCTACATTAGGGCCACCAGAACAGTACAGAAAACAGATCAAAGCTGTTACTAGTCTGTCTTTCCTTTCTGTTGTGCTAGCATTCCTCCACAGTCCATTTTCCACTGTCTTTTTCTGTCCTTTATGTGTTGAAATACAGAGAAAAAGACTGAATTAAAAAGTCAAGGCCAGAGTGTGTTGGATAGATCAAAAGAGAAGGTGCAGGGGAGAAAAAGAGGGAAGGCCGGACATATGTAAACAGAAAAAGAGAAACTGAACGTGAAGGAGCTAGAGAGAGCAAATGGTTGTGTCTTCATGTTGTGATCTGTCAGCGTTGACAGGGATAAGCAGAGCAAACATGCATCTCCCTTGTCCCCTTGGTCAGTTTCCATGGAAACACAATTTCTCACCCATACACATATACTGTATGTTCATCCTACTCGCACTGTATTCCCAGCAGTCACAGTCAGCATGTAGTTCAAATGGGCTACATGAAAAAGTCTAGAACTAATAGCATCTTCTGTGTGGAATTACATACAACACAGGAGCATCGTTTGACTGCTTGTACTGCGAGTATCATACCCTGAGGAAGTGAAGCCTCAGCTCACTGTCTTTCATGGATCTGAGGTCAGAGCCACAATTTACCCAGCTGTCATGCAACAGTGCAATTTGGCTGACATTTAAAGATTTGGCTGTAGACCCATAATGAACAAAGGTGCAGAGGCCAAGACAACAAAAGTAGCCAGATTCATTTGAAATAATAATTTCCTTGAGTTTATGTTTAGGGAGCATTAGTGAGCTCAAGGCCAGCAAGTTCAACCTGGAGTTGAGTGTGGAGGTGAAGGGGAGCCCCTGGTGGCTTGAGCTGAAACAACAGCATGTCCTAAACTTCAGTAAAAGGACTTATTATGCTGTCAAGAAAAAACAAGTAGAGGTTTTGCATTCAAACTTTATTTAAATAAGAATCCATCTGGATTACTAGTGAAATTTAATGAAAGTCAAAGTAAACTTTAACTAGACTTCCTACATTTAGGCAGTTTAATCTGGTGGTTCCCAACGCAGGGCTGGGGCCTTCCCCAAACGGTCACATGATAAATCAGAGGCGTCTCAAATGTTGTGTTTTTTTGTTTGTTTGTTTCTTTTGTGAAAGATTGGATCATTTTACATTTGACCAGGGTGCCCAAGCATCCACCACATTTTTAATCGATTACACTCAACATAAAAATGATTGCAACTGTTGTTTCTTTTGTGAAAGATTGGATCATGTTACATTTGACCAGGGTGCCCAAGCAACCACCACATTTTTAATCGATTACTCACTCAACATAAAAATGATTGCAACTATTTTAATAATTGTTAATCGGTTTTTAAGAAAATTTATGAAGAAAGTACAATACAAACATTTTCTAGTTCTGATATTTAATGAAGGCCAACACACATGTATCTCAGTTTTAATTTAATTAATCGATAATTCTATCATATATTATAATTCCTTTTTGTTATTTAGTTCTGTTAACTTTTCTGAAAGCCCGCTGGTGCTTGAGAGTTATATTTTTACCATTTGTATGTGTTGTTTCATCCTGAGCATTTACAGAAGGTCACATGTGTTTACCTCTACTTAGAGATGTACACAACCTCATTGAAATACATATGTTGACATGGTGTTGTCTCATATAGCCTAAATTGACTGATTGATAGTGCCAGATCTTCCACCCAGTCTGACTCAGGAACACTTGGCCACTCCTGACTGCACAGTCTCATCTCCATCAACATGTTGTGAAGGTCACAGTGCCTGTTTGTACAGTAGTTGTCATATTCTGCTAGGTAATTAAACACTAGATGCAAGACCGGCCATTAGTGACAGAAAACTGCAAAGGCCAACACAGTCTGCTTTCTGTGAGTTTCATACTACATTAGCTCCTTCCAAGGGCTCAGCTTTGATGCGTTTTTAAACCTTTAAGGAGCCAGCAGTGTCCAGCTAAAGCTTGTCATACGGTTGATATAGTAGGAAGCCGGCCCTCCGTTATTGCTTGAGAAGCGTGTCAGTGGCTCTAAATAGGTCTTTCAACACCAACAGTGCTGTGACATCAATTATAGTGATGGATGACTGAGGAAAAATGGCTAAAACACACATGGATGACCACACAGCTACACCAACCTCCAGTGCCTCCATAACCCTCTGCCAGAAGTGCAAAGTCACTTTCACTTGAAAATTATCTTTACTTTTGTTCTTATGTTAGATTGTTTAAATAAACATAAACGCTGTGAATTGACCTCCACCAGTCATGTCATGAGCAGCGTTCACCACCAGCCCCCACCTACTGACAAGCACTTCCCTGTGAGGTTGCTGTGGGAGCTTGTCATGTCCACAGTTGACCGTGAGAGTATGAAAGTTAGTTTAATGTTTAACTTGAAGTATGTACGCTTGAAAAGTGATGTATGTGTGTGTGAGCATTTTTATGTGTGCATATGAATTTTCCAACTGTGCTTGTTTGCATGACTTTATGTTCATATGTACTCTAGTATACATATACAGTACGTATGTCTGTATTTACAGACGTGGTGGTCTGAGTGGTTTGGAGGAAGTTTGGTAGGTATTTGTATTTTCTCTCTCTGGAATGTGTACACAGTGGAGAGGGATTGATTTATGAGCCCTCCACTGTGTACACATGTCCTTCATTTGAATGAGAGCAACAATGTGTCTGTATGTAAATGCACAACCTGGATTTTGGTTCTCACACACTATGCTGATCTAACTGAGCAGAGACATTTAACACAGTTTACACCATAACTTTTACAAATATTTACTTCCTGTTAAGTGCTCAACCTTTTTTAAGTGGCCTTAACCTGAAGTCTAGCTCAAGTGTATTAATATATAAGCTGTGAATGCTATTCAAATATTAAAGTTACCCTTTCAGAATAAAGTGTTTCAGCCCTTGTATTTTCCTGTATTACAGTCCAGTTTGATGGTGTGGAGAAGTCTCGAATGTCACCTACGAAGGAGGGAAAAGCTCGTCCGCTGCAGCGACACTCCAGTGGTTGTCTGGTCAACACCAAAATGACTTCGCTGGACCACTGCAGCTCCTCTCTTGGGGAGCGTATTGACCCAACCATGCCTCTGGAAAGCCAGTTGTGAGTCAAATCTTGGTGTTGTATTGTTTTGTCTAGAAATGTTAAATAATTTCAAATACGCCAGACCTTTTGTTAAAGATGTGTTTACAAGTGGGTTTGACCCTTTGTTTCAGCTCCTTGTTTCTATGGTCTGCTTATTCTGAGCATTCTGTTTTCTCCTTCCATTTTGCTCCCCTTTTCTTATTGTTCACTCTAGCTGGTACCATGGAGCAATCAGCCGAACAGATGCCGAGTCTCTGCTCAGGCTTTGTAAGGAGGCCAGTTACCTAGTGAGAAACAGCGAGACCAGCAAGAATGACTACTCCCTCTCCCTTAAGTAAGAACATCACTCTCTTTTCTGAGATAACAAGCCACAAACACTACAGTATTGGATACACAAGTGCACATGACAGCTGAAGGAAAAGTAATAAAGTGTCAGAGAGTTATGAAAATCGAATGTCTGTAAAAGTCAGTTAAGTATATTTTTCTGTGATTTGGCCAAAGAAGACAGAAACAAGTACCAAGTGCCATAGCAGTACACATACCTGTCGGTAGAGTACACAGTGTTGACCAGTCCAACAAACTGCTTGTAAAGGTCCTTGTATACCTGTGCCTGAGTAGTCTGCTGACTTGGTTTTTTCAGCATGGTAATAATTTTCACCTTTCAGACCTCTACCTCCCACCTACATCCTGCTCCTCCCTAGTTCCCCACCTGTCCCTGGTGACCCCTCTATCACTGTCGTCACCTTGATGTGCTGATGTGCCCACAACTCAATTAATGGGGCTCTTCTTCAGCGACCCATGAACCCTGTAACAGTACAGGTTACTTTAGCTTGAAGGCCTGCAGTGCAGTTATATCCCATTCTTCAGGCTGAAATGTGCAGCTTTGCTGGGCTTGGTTTAATGATTCTCACTGCCAGTTGTCAGGGCCAGGTGTCAGTGCAACAGCAGCAGAAACAGGAAAGAAATTTGCTCCTGAAACTTGGAAAAAAAAGAAGGTGAAACCAACTGTGGAATTTAAATTTGCTTGAGCTATCAGCTATAAAATCTTTATTATGTTTTTCTTTTTTGCATTATAAGGCAGGCTCGACCATATGACGTTAAGAAAATTTGCTGTGATGACCTTTAGATGGAATGAAACTGCAATATGCTGAGAGACACTGATTAGCCTTTGTTATTACAGCAGAGGTCACCTAGCTGGATGCTTATATGTTTTGGCAGGCAAACACAATACTGCTCACTGCTCCAATTTTGTTAACGATACTGTGGCTGGCTGCCTGTCTAACTTCTCGTCTCAGTGACCAATCATCTGCTTATGTTTGTGTGACTGCTTCTTTTTCTGCCTTACTGACAGATACAAAGCATGACATCCTAAGTGCTGGGTTGCTGACCTGTTACCGGCTGTGTCTGACTACAAACAAAAGAAATTAAATATCTGTCTGACTGGTTGAATATTAAACATCCCAAACATAAACATTTTAAAACACATACATGTCATCACACATTCACACAGCCCGGCCGTGAGTATCACATTGAAGCAGGCAAAACTGAAGGATAATTTAGATATACTCCATCCATGTCAAATATATAAAGGAACACAGAATGCATATAAGAACTGGAAATTGAAAACGGAGATGGTAACAATGGATGCATATTGTTATTGCATAGTATTTGTTCTTAAGGCACTACAGAGTTTCATCACTACAACACAAAATAATGGAATGTGACATTGCTGAGAGAGATAAAACCGATATAAATGTAATATCACTTTAAATACCATTAAGTAAGAATACATTACTCACTGTAAGAAAAATCTTCAGAAGTGCCAGCAGCGTTCTTCTGTGGTAAACACACAAATACACACACACACACACACAGAAGAATATTCATCCACTCATACAATTGAGAACCAGCTAGTTAAAACAGCCTATAATTCAGTGTTAAATGAAAAACTACCAAACAGGTAGAACTAAGTAAGACCACAGTGAACAAGACCCATATCTCCAAATATGCTTTAGATGTCATATAGGAACATGGAGCTAGCTACCTGTAATGAGCACCAATTCATTTCTGGAGAATAAACAAAGGTCCGTCCATCTGTATATCCATCTATTTTTGTAAAGCCAGAAAGAAGTAATAAAAGCTAAGTATTCCATCTTAAATTAAAGTTTTATTTTTATTTAGTGTGTGTTTAAAAGTGTTTCAACCTTCTGCTTCAGTAATGGGCTTACTAACATTCATGTAGTTACACATATTCACATCCCAAACTGTCCGGTTGACCCACAGTAATGATCTGCACGATTAGAGTAGATGATAGAGGAGTACCGCCGAGTGTCTTACTAATGGGCACCTTGGTTGGTAAGGTGAAGGGAAGCTTTACTGTAGCTGTGCTGTTTTTTTGCCACAGGCCTGCCTCTCTGATACAGAGGCCACAGTTTGGAGAATCTATAAAAGCAAGGTGTGAGATGACTTCTGTAACAGCCATAACAGTTTGCCACACTGAGGTATAAAAGAAGAGGAAAAGATGCTGAGAAAACTCTGTGTCAGTGTAGCAGAGCCATTTAGTCCCTGTGACTCTGGAAACTGCAGGATAGCATGGTCTGGCCTTTTAGCCAGCAGAAAAAAAATATCTTGGTACTCTACAGGAGGGATGGATATTATTCTTCCCAAAAGATATTCATGATGGCAGTGAAGATGCTGTCTAACACATTGCTCCAAAACCTCCCATAGGTGTTCAGCTGGGTTGAGATCTGGTGTGTGTGTGAAGGCCACAGCATATGATTCTCATCCTTTTCATACTCATTGAACCAGTCAGTGACCCCTTGTGCCCTGTGGATGGGGGCACTGTCATCTTGGAAGAAACCACTCATTGATTCAGGTTTTTCTTTAAACTGACACCCATCTGTATATGATAACACAGCAAACTGCTCACAATTTACTGCATTTGCTAGATAGCATAGCATCCTAATAGCATAGAAATGTTTTTTGAAGGGGTCTGCTTCTGTGTGTGTGTAGTCACATTTGTGTGACAGATCCTGAGTGTCACAGAACCTTATATTTTGTGCCTTTGGCCTAAAAAAAATCATCAGCGGGCCGATTCTGGGGAATGACAGGTGCCACCACACTGCAGACAGAGGTGATTCTGAGTTCAGCCCACTCACACAAGGCCATCTCCCCTTCTGCCTCTGCAATTGAGTGGAAGCCCAAGGTGAAGATCCTCCATGTCTGAGGTTGCTGAAAAATGCATAAGGCCATGAGATGGTCCATATGTGCATTGCATTATTGATAAAGACAGACGTTGCTGAGACCCCCAACCTTGAGAGGTATCTGGCCTGACACAGAGCATTTTCCCTCTGTTGTGCCCTCCTCACCTTTTTTTCTATTCATTTACTCCTCACCCCTCTTTCTTTTTCTCTCTGTGGAGAGAAACCCTTTAAGGGGGTTGAAACATATTAAAACCTTCACAAGTGTCTCAGAGCAAAGTGTCATCCTGTATCTCACTTCGTCGAGAGAGCTCCGCGCAGCGTGTTTCCACTGCCTGAGCAGAGAAATTGTTAGTGAGAGAAGGAAATCTATCCCACCGAATGTGTTTGACGCCAGGGCAGAGACAAGAGGAAGCTAAACAGCCAATTGAAAGAACAACCAAAAGGTCTTTTGTGTCCACATTGTAACTCCTCTTCCATAGATAACCTCCTGTTTTTATGGTGTTTTTTTTTTATTATGTTTAGACACAAAATATTTACTCTGTGTGGCACAGATGAGACAGTGACTATCTAGAACACAAAACTAATATCAAATCTGACTTTTTGCTGCCTATTTATGCAATCCAAGCAACAAGTTAAAAAAAATTGTCTTCTTGCTTGGTGCACATTGAACCTACATGACAGCTTTTGTTTCTTAAACTTAGCCTGCTTCATACCACTAACTGTAACCATTGCCATCAGTTGTAAAGGTAGGGACCAACCTGGGTCGACTCATTCAGTTTGTGCCCTTGTGAAATAATGGGCACACAGGGTATCTGATGCCCAATCATGCTTAAAAAGGTCATCTCTTATTGTCAAGAATCATTATCTTTTGGGAAATGACTTGAGCTTTTCCCGATGCCATAGATTCTTAACACCAAGAGTATAATTCATGAAGCAATACAATATGTTGAAGGCGAGGATAAGTGATGATTGCTGTCAGGCTGTTGCTGCTCTGAAGAGTACAGGGCTCAAATCAAAGGCATAAACCTCAATAAAAAGGACGACAGACCTCCACAGTGAGATTAATCTTGATTAGACAATAGAAGCCCAAAACACAGGGATAAGATAACACCACAAAGGCCTGTATTCTCCAAAGTAGCCTTGTGTTCATTTTATCAGCAACCTTGCTGCATTGCTCTCTTGCCCTGGTTTCTGTCTCTGCAGGACTGTAATATGATAAGCAGCCCTGAACACCGAATGGAAAATCAGCTGGGAATCCAAAAATGATGCTATTGATGTGTTTGCCTTTTTAAGTGTGGCTCTGTGTAACCTAACACCTGTCTCTCAGTGCTCCGCAGGAAATTTCATCAAATGCACTTTGCAGGGAAATTTTTTTGGATTTTTTTTGTTTGTTTGTTCTTAATAAGCTCTCCTGGCACGATGTGCAGAATACTAGGATTATAGAGACATCTGGCAGGGGAATTACGCCCTGCTCTCCTCAGATCATGATGAACTTGTTAATGACATGATCGAACATCGAGGCCAGGGGCACGGTAATGGAGAAGTCTGATAGTTGTGTTTACTTAAGCCTGTAGCTTTCTAGCTCAGCTCACCTATAAAACAAAAAATGTTAGCAATGATGTATTTGAAATATTCTCCATCATTTGCCATAAACAGTATGTAGGATTTCACAACTTAATTATCTCTCTTTCTCTATAATAATATTATTAATCATAATCATAATCATTAGCACAGAATCCTTAAAAAACGATCAGTCTCTTGAAATAAAGAATAACCTCACAGAAAGCCATCACAGTTTCACTGTGTTCTTATTCTTGATGGATGTCCCTAAATTGAACCCTGTACATAATTTTTAGATACCAAGTGTTATCTCTGTGCTAGTTTCTCTCAGGGAAAGAATATATCCACAGGCTTTGCTCATGTAATTACAAGATAAGTAAATAATGGACTTGCCTTATGTTCACTGTGCCTAAAGCACAGTTCCTGCTTCTGTTTGTCATTGATAATGGGCATATCCACACATATGTGCGTATATTTTCAGTGGGAATATATTTAGTGAAATCAAACCCATGGATTTCATTTTAGTTGCTTCGTTGATAATCAAGAATAGAAACAAATACATATAGAAAAGAGCAGCGTGGCCTGTGATAAAGGTTCTACACCTCATCAACAGTCCTGACCTATCTCTTTTCACTGTATCTTATCCAGTCTGAAATGTGTGCTTATGTCTGCTACCACTGGAATAATATTTCCACACCCTTTGCTGGCAGAATAATATCTGCCCTACTTTACACCTCGTGCACATGTATGCTGCATGTGCGCAGTCCACAACATCTTTGGAACAGTCAAAATGCAAAAAGAAAATAACATGGATCCACAGTGACTAACCTCATAAATCAATGGGTTTGCAGTTTTGCTGCTTTCCTTAATTGGTGTGTTTGGTTCCATGTCACAGAAAGGCCTAGTGCGAAATAGTAATCCTTGGTTTTGTTTTGTTTTCTCTTTGCTTTCTTTCAGTATAATTGAAAACTTGCATTATTGTCCTCCCTATAGCCAGTTTTTTCTTTTGCAATTCAGCAACAGGGACCACATTTCAAATTAAGGCAAAAATAACATGATATAAAGTAGAATAGGTGGGGGTTTAGTGAGCTGGAAAGAAGTGGTGCATATTACGTTGATGGCGTGCCATAATGCCCACTCGCAGCCAGTGAGTAAATAGTATCTGGGCCTACAGCTATCATAACTTGCTTGAAGTATTGACTGCTAATTTAAAAAAGCTATTATGCTAATGTGTTTGTGACTACAAATTATCAAACTGTATATTTACAGCAGGATATAGAGACCATTAGTTTTGTATCACTTCCTTGCTAAAGCTTACTGTTGCATCACTTAACAGCTCAGAAAAAGTAATTTTCTATTCTAAGAGCTTAAGATTACTAGCAAGCTGTAAAATGTATTGATCGAAGGCTCCTAGAAACACACAGGGAGCTTTTAATTTGCTGTGCATTTATTGGTGTGGCTTAAGTGATTTATCCTGGGGGTTCATTAGCCTCATCCTTATGCTCTGGGTGTGAAACCCAGCACCTTCAGCAGGCCTGCCTTTTAGTCTCCTCTCCATACAGCTCCAAAGTTATCATAGGTAATCCCCACTTTCAGAACATTATCACGTCCTGCAGAGAGCAAGTACAGTGGGAGGACATGAGAAAGGAGTTGTGAAGGAGTCGTGATCTGTTGAGCTTCACATTTATTCAGGCTCATACTGACATACTTAACATACTTCCTTTTAAATTACTTTTTTTGCCATACTAGTGGCATGACTCTAAGTATGGCAGGGTCTGTCTCTCAGCCGGTCAGTCCACCTCTTTGGTCCAGACTGAAATATCTCAACAGTTGGATGGACTGCCATGAAATTGTGTACAGATATCTGTATTCCCATTCAGTTCATTTGGAAGGTGTATCCAAACGTTTGACTGGTTGTGTACATCCAAATGACTTTGGTTATCCCCTGGTTTTTCATGTAGTCATCAGCAGTACAGATTCCACTTCTCCAGCAGAATAATATAAAATCTACAAGATGGACTGGCACAAAATTTTATTTTTTATGTAGTTTTATAGCGACATTCATGGCTCCCATGTGATGCCATCCACTCACTTGTTCTCTTACACTTTGTTTTATGAAACCCTGCTAATTCATTGTCATTCCTGTCAGTGTCCACTTTACTGTTTTTTTTTTCAAGCTAATTAGCAAATGTTAGCATGCTAACACACAAAACTGTCTTTTGTCTCCATCTGTCATCAGGAGCAGCCAGGGCTTCATGCACATGAAGCTGTCACGGACAAAGGAGAACAAGTACATCCTGGGCCAGAACAGCTGCCCTTTTGACAGCGTGCCTGAGATAATCCATTTCTACTCCAGCCGCAAGCTGCCCATCAAGGGTGCTGAACACATGTCCCTGCTCTACCCTGTAGCCATCAGGACACTATAGTGTTTTGGGTCACCTGCAGGTGTCCTCCCCCTGCTGTACTCACTGGGGCAACTTGTGGCCCAATTCTTCCTGTCCCTCTGGACAATGCCCTGTCGGCTCATGGGAAGGAGAACAACTGCTGATCCTGATACACCTCACTGGCCGACTGATTCCAGACCTGTTTTGAAGGCCAGCTGCATACTATATCATATATACAGACTCAGTGTTGCAGAAATTTTTATGTTACTTTATTTATGACCAACACCCACTTCATTACATCACAGACTATCAGATGGACATTGGTTCTTGAGCTGATTTCCCTTAGCACTCAGCACTCACAAAAAGAAAGGTACAACACTGAAACATTTCTCACTGGGATGTACCTTTTACTATAATATGTTTCTCTTTTTTTCTAAGAGTGCACATCACGACAATTGTGTAAGAACAAACTGGTCTGATTTTCTTATTTGGTTAAGGCTCTATTAATACTGTAATTGTTTGTAAGGGGACTTGAAGATTATAGGAGCCGTGTAAGGGAAGCGACATTTATGAGGCATGTTGAGAGGTATTGTCCACATGGGCCCCATACACTGGCCAGAATATTGAATAAAGTGGCCTTGTATGAATGGTGTGTCCCCAGCTGCGCAGAGACAACAGGCCTGTGAGCTGTGCAGACTGATCTCTCTATCTTGTCATAGTCCATGCTGTCTACTATCCATCACTGAGGGGGTGTATCACACCAAAGACAGTGTAAGTGCCACAGTGGTGAGACAGGCAGGAGAGCATGATGGATGGGTCAACCCATTCACCACAGTACAATTGGCTGAGGCTAGAGACCAGAGCCTTTCCAAATGGACCAAATTAGCCCCGCTACCCCTGCTTAGAATGGCTTTGCATCAGGGGAATGAAATATGCCTGCATTGTCTACCTCAGAAAATCAATTTCCTTCGTCCATCTCCAGATCAATAGGTACAACGGGAATGCAGATATCGATCTGCCCTCCCTTCGACATTCCCAGTTCCCCTGAAATTGAATTACCCGTTTGAGGAATGTGCTTTTTTGAATAGAGGTAACCCAGAATTTTTAGTATGAAAACATTTTCATAAAAAACTGATTGTACAGATCAGCAATTGTATGTATAGTCATTAATATGATACTGTGTGATGTCAGTAACAAATGTTTGGTTAATACCTTATAATGCATGGGTCAGATCAGTCCGCTAGATCAGCCGATTTGCAGTTCTGCTTTTAATGATTGTTCTGTGACTGTAATTTATTCTGGGGTGATTATTACTGATGTGTTACTCCTTTGTGACTGCCCAGCGGCCCCCTCGCCCTCATTGTTCTGTACCGATGTGGTTGTATTTCTTAGGACTACTCCAGCCTCTCTTACTGTGGTGTTTTGCATTTTTGTTGTTTCCAGTTCTGCTAAATGCACGTTTGCCTCAGTGGCCTGACTCAGAGGTACAAGTCATGGTGTCTCCTGATCAACAGGATTGTCAAGCCTCACCTGAGAGATGACCGCGGACCCCCCACCCCCACCCAATCAATCAATCACATCTCAGCCTGTTTGAACCAGTTAACCACCTACCTTCAAGCTGTCATGCTTCCACTAAGCATTAAAATCTCTCTGTCTTCAAGCCTCTGCTACCACATGTGCTTGTGTGGATGTGAGAATGCATTTGTCTGACACATTCATTATTTGTATGCATATGGAAATGTGTGCACAAACTTTCTGGGTTCCAGTGTGTGTTTAACATTGCTGGTACAAGCTGGTGACAGTTATTGCTTGAACCTTTTCGGTTGTTGCAGCCTTTTTTCTCCCCCGAACTTGAAAAACTAGAATGCAGCTCGTTGATTCACTAATTTTCTTTTGTTCTTGTATTTAACCACATTAACCACATTTGATTTTAGCAACTCATAGGAATGGCATGTCTGTATTGTGGCCAGCTGTCTGAATGTTATTCTAACTGCCTGAAATTGTAACAAATATTTTAACCAATCACAGCAAGAAGGCACTGATTTACCAACAGTATGAAGGATCTAATGAGAGTGCTTAATGCTCATGTGGTCAGACTGTCTATTCACAAGAAATCTTTGCCAGTCTTATGAGTTGTAAAAATCATTTGCTGGTTTAATGAGCACATCCAAGTGAAAATGTTGGGGTTGGCTTTGTCCAGTCTGAAAATGACTTTACAAGCATATATGTACAAAGTCAAATCAGTGTTGGCTTTGTATCGCCGCTGTGTGCTATGCAACTATAAACTGCAGTCACTGAAGGGAAAATGATTGGAGTGTGTGCCTCCGCCATATGTTTCTGACAATTGTGATGGTACAACATGTCCACAGGGAAGAAATGTAATCAGCATATTGACCTGATTAGTAAAAGTAGTTTGCAGAAAGTGGGACGTATGCAGACATTTATTTTGTTGGTGCAGTAAGTGAGCAGACATATGTCAACGTCATCTGCTAAGTATGTCATATGAGTGTGTCTGTTCATGTGATGAGGCAACATCTTCAGTTTTATTTGGAAACACTGTAGTATGTTGCCAAAATGGACCTATGTATTTCCTTGAGAGAGGATATCCTAAGAAGAAATGCAAATTTAAAATAAACTATATGTGTTATGAATCCTTTTATGCTCCGAATGTTCCCTGTTAAACAGTAAAGGCTCTTTATTTAGTTACTGCTGCTCATGACTCTACTATAGGAGAGAGCCTGTGTATGATGGCCGCACTGTCTAGAGAGAGGCCTTAGCTTTGAAGAAAGGGGAGAATAAGGGAGGGACAGAGGAGATTGGGTTCTGACAGGGGGAGGGATTTGTTGCGATCAGCAGACACATTCCTCACATCTGTGTTTTTCTGTTCTAAGAACCTGAATGAGCCCTTCTCCTCCCTCAGAAGTGTCTTAAACTGTGTGCGTGTGTACACACAATTGTGCAAGCATGAAACAGTGTTTGTGTGGGTGTGCGTGCGTGTGTGTACTGCTGTAAGCATCCGTCAGCCATTGACTTGCCCTGTGTGTATCTTGTGCATCACTTTACTGTGGTAAAGTGGCATGTATGAGTTTCCTTTGTGTACATTTTTGTGCCACGTATGTATGCACTATTATAGCATATCTCTGTACAGTCCCTCATGGCCAAATGTATATATTGAATGTATTGTATGGGGACATCGAGGCATCAAGGTTCAAAATAAATAAAACTGGGTTTATGATTTATTGTGTGATTCACTCAACCATTTTCTTTTTGTTTTACACAGCTGACAAAGTAAAGCAAACACACACTTGTTTAGAAGGAGAAAAGCCCCTTCCTGTATCTTCACCATCACCAGTTACCATGGTGAAGCCTTTCGATAAACAGCGAAGAGCAACCATTGTTTGAGTCAAGGACAAAATGCTGGGAATATTATCAAGCCAGTGCTCCAGCACTTGTTCTCTATCGATCCACTTTGGAGCACAGTTTTGTAATATTCTCTTCACTCTGCTGTTCATCCCAGTAACATTTGGTTGCCTGTCCATAGTTTACCACAGTGAGGTTTCCTGCTTCCGGTAATCACACACCTCTTTGATACGCATATTAGCATCTGAAAAAAAGTCTTTGCCTCAAGTTAGAAGACATTTCTTAGCCATCCAACGTTAGACAGAAAAGCACTGTTGATTTCAGTGATAACACCTTCTTTTTTGTGTCTGTAATTATTTCCTACTCATTTTCTAAGACATTTTCTGGGAGGACCCTGTATATACTAATTATAGGACAAATAATAAATTCCTTGAAAAAAAAAATCCCTATTCAATATTCTTTTATTACTAAAAATGTAATTCTCTCTATTTGAATAAGGCAGTGTTTACAGTTTTGCATTTTCAGACGACCTGCTGAGCACCGACAAAAAGCTCCTCCAGGTTATGCTAGCAATTACTTTGAATTAATTAACTGGAAGTGTGCCAACTGAATCTGTCTCTATTCCCTAGAATTGTATGTTTCTGTCGATACAAATACCACCAAACCTATGTTTTATGGATGCTCTTCTACAACACCGATTTTCTAATCAGTCATTGTTTTTTGTTTTACAATATAATATTTTGTTGAATTGTTATGTACTATATATCAAACATGTTTTCAGTCAGTATTAATGCATGTGTATCACCTGTATAAAAGCTGTACTATATGCACTATAGTTTCCATTCCGATTGTGGATACTCTTTTGTTAGACACATCAATACAGTACTCACAGGCTATGACACCCTCTGGGGTGTTACTAAATGGAGAAAGTTTAGCACTCAGTTCAGCGGTTTTGAAGCATGAAATCCCTAATCCTTTATTCTAAGATCATTTTTAGAATTGTTACACTGTGTCAACAAAAACCGTTTTAACAGAGCAAAGTCTGGCCACATAACAGTTGGCAGACATTCGGAAAGGGCACAGGCAGGGGTTGCTGAGAGGAAACTGAGCATTCACAGCCTGTCCAGTAGTTTGATGGCAGGCAGAATCTGTCATGCACACACCTCAGACTTGCTGACAACCAAACAGAGGGCTGTCTCTGTATCTCTGACAGCAAGCTGTTGGCAGCTACAGACACATACTGTATGTCACAAAAACAAACATTTTCATATGGTCATGAGTAAAAACAAACATTATTCTATCACTTGATGTGTTTAAGCTGTTTTCTTGGCTGCATAAATACTTTATATAGAGTCAAGCAACTTGTGAAAATTTCAAAGAAAACTAACAAAAAAGGGAATTAGTCACTTCCTCCACACATCATTTTACAGCTTTGATTTTTTTAAAAATTTTTCTATCTCACTTGGCTCAATCAAAACCACAACTTCAATCAAAACAAGCAGTGAAGTTGCTATTTTAGGTTTCCATTCAAACTCCCACCTCCGCCTCCACCGCAGCTCTGTTCTCCTCCAGAGAAGCTCCATGAAGGGTTAAAGTACCTAAGATGAAATGCATCAAAGAGCCTTTTGTGGACAAAAAGAAGGGGCAGAATAAAAGCAAGGCTTGAAAGCAATGAATGAGCCACAAGGGGATAAAACGGCCTCGTGTCCATCAGAAGCTGATTTCATATTCTGCTCAGTCACGCCGGGCAGAAAGCAATCTCAGGTAGCACACCTTATATGTTAATAACGCGTGAGGTGCCTCCTTTCAGAAAGACAAAAGCAGATAGAGGACATTATACCAGCCTTATTCTTTCCTCCTCCTCTGGCACGTTGGACGGTTTCATCTGCAGAGAATAGTACCGATATTGTTGTGCCTGTCTGTGAAGGTTTGATTAGAGCAGCTTTTACACCACTATGAAAGGTCTGGTATTGATGTTGTCCATTGGCTTATCATATATTGCCCATAATGACATGGTGCAGAACCTTGCTCATTACTTGAATCCCTGGTCACTCTGGGAGTAATTGAGCAGATTTGTGCCAGCTTCAAAGCTCCAGGCTCTATTCACTAGGAAGGAAGTTCGGAGTTGTTTAAGCCATTTCCTGCTCCTGCACAGAAATGACTTTTCACAGATATGCATCCACCAAACGTGTCGTGGTAACATTTGAAAAATGAAAAGAACACAAAGAGAAAGTGTGTAAAAGCTCACAACTCTTTAAAGCTATTCAAAACCTCAGTGACCATGAGCTGAAGTGCAGCGTAGATAGTGTGATAGTGAAGAGGGACTATACTGAGCTCAAAACCAAAGTAGTGCAGTAGGCGGGAATAGGCAGAGAAGCTGGTCTTCCATTATTTCTGATCCCATAGTGCTCTTCAAAGTTGGTAGTTCACTTATGGTGGTGAGTGGGTGTAAAACTGCCCCACTGGGGAAAGAAAGAATCTGCTTATCTCTCACTTGTGTTGGGCTCAGATGGTTATTTTACTTCCATGTCAACATCACCTTTATTATCATTTTGATGTAATACACCCTTTAGATATTTTGGAATAGGATAAGGATAAGGATAATCACCTTTATTGGCCAAGTATGTTACACACAAGGAATTTGTTTCCGGTACAGAACTGAGGCAGTCATCTGCGGTGTCAACTCAACCGATGGAGATAGGACACATGGACACGTGGACTGCCGGCACCGAGATAGCCAGTTCATAAATACAGTATATATATATATATATATGTATTTAAAGAGGTGAAAAAAAGAGTAGACAGCAAACATTATTTATATTATCAATTATTATAGTTTTCCCATGGAGATTTAATATCAGACACAGTCTTGATAGTCAATTTTACTTTGAAATGTGTTCAGCTGACAATAAAAGGAACCAAACATATTTTCTATATCATTTGTGTGACGCCGCTTTGCACACAATTGATTGTCTGCACCACCTCACACGATGATTTGCCACAGTAAATTTGAATATTCTGAAAGTTAAGAAGCTTGAGTAGTCTATGAAATAAAGGTAGTAAATACACATAATATAGTCCAGTATATGTAGTAGCCTACATTTGAATTTAGTGAAGCATTAAAAACAAGATGTCTGGATACCATCCCTGTTTGGTTTAAAATTCCACTATTTTCTAAACTGTCACCTTGTCAATTTGCATGAAAGACAATGACACTTTTATTCAGTGCTGTTTTGTTGAAGCTATGACACCGTTTCCTTTGGCACAATGGAAATGCTTCATTTTTTAAAATACCCTTGGAGGCAGTTAGAGGTGGAAATTGCCCGCAGGTGTGCGTGCATATAAATGGTAATGGGGACAGACGGACACAAAGTGCTGTTTGGGTGCTGTGCTCATGAAAGGGCAATCCACTGATTGAGCTGTCACATTCACAGATGCAGTAATAAAACTAAGCAGGGCAATTACTGTAGATGGAGAACAGTGGGGGTGGGGGTAATATGTCCTCCCCTAAAATACCCTTATGGGAGACAACAAGACAAAGCAAATGTAGCCGTCTGTAATAAGGTTGGCTGAAAAAAAGAGCTCAGCTAATGTAACAATGCTCTGACAAGAACAGCAGCATAATAAAGCTATCACCTTATCTGTGCAACTTCCCATTTTATGTTGCTGGCTGGCTAAGCATACTGTCCTCTTAGAAAAATGAGCACACATGGCTACCGCTTATCAAACAATGTTCAACAGAGGGCAGATCAAGAACACGATTTTAAATTTATCAAGGGGAGAAAAAGCAGATAAACAAGCAGCATGTACAATTCGCTGGGATAATCTGAAACTACAGGATGGAAATAAAGTACTTCACTGCCATCTAGTGTACAAATAGGACAGTTACCAGTGACAATGTAAACAGTACTACTGTCAAAGCTCTAAGGAGAAGATACTTTAATGCTGCAAGTCTATAAATAGATATCTACTTATGATTGTACAATTACAAAGCAAAAAAAAAACAACTTATAATTGCACACCAATAGTTCAAAAGCAGTCAATAGATGTCACTGATTAAAAACAGGAGGTCATTTCAGGTGTTGGTGAAGTCAGCAGGATAAATTTATTACAAGAGCAATAAGAAAAGCTGTCATGGCCTTTGTGGAGATCAGCCGAAGCAGCACTGAATGTACATTTAAGTGGTGAATAATGTAATAATAATAATTTCTACATATTATCTGTCTGAAGCCTTAATGTATCATTCCTGGGCAGTAGGATGACAACCTTTCTGCTGCTCCCGCCTCTGTAAACACCTGTATCTGTGGAGAATGGGCTCAGTGTCCTAGGCCTCCAGCAAATATGAGCTCGAGGGCAGCTTGGATGTCACCATCTGTGGCCTGCAGTGCCCTCAGCATCAGCTCCTCATCTTGGATCCCCATGTCTCTGAGCTGTTGCATCTGGGACTGCCAGCGGCCCTGGCAAGACAAAACAACACTCAAAGAATCATCTTTTATCTGAAGACAAGCTGGCAGCTGCACCAATAAAGGATAACCTGGGCAGTTACCATTTGAAGCATTATTTGATATTTGAGTAGATTTCCTCAGTGAAGTGAATATGTGAGATTGAAATGGCGAGTTCAGTCTCACCTGTAGAGCCGACATGTTGGTGGCTTGTAGCGCTTGCTGCAGAGCCTGGCTGAAGAGATCGTTACTGACTGGGGTACCTGCTGGCATGGGGGCTACACTGGAGGGGTCCACCTAATCAAAGACAGAATGACAGTAAAGAAAAACAACAAAAAACAAAAGCTGAATGTGTTTATCGGCAGTAATATAACAAGGCTTTGTGGCAGAGATCATGGTATAAAAACATGAATGTCCTTATTGTGTCATGTTTTAAGTAAATGAATCCTACACTGGTTCAGTAGTTTTAAAAAAATGCATGAGACTGTTGTATATTTTTCTTTCAAACTGTAAATCTGTCTCACTTGGCTCGCTGTTGTGGGAGTGACTGCACTGCTGTCAGGAGTGCTGGCGAGCGCCAAAGCTGTTGCCAACTCGCTCTGTGTTATTGGTCGAGGGCCCGTCGCGCCGCTGTGGCTCAGAGACACCGGTCGTATTCCTCCTGGGGCCCCTCCCCTGTTGGACGGCCCTGCTGGGCTCCCCTTGTTCAGAAGCACATTAAAGCCATTAGCATGATTAGTTCTCGTCTTTGGGATCACTGATGTCGAGAATGAAACAGAGACTCACAGTCTGGAAATCTTCCTCGTCGTCAGACATGCCCTCGAACATGAAGCCTCCTGCCAGAAAACAACAATCTGAGTTATCTGGACATCTGTTCAGAAAACAGAACCAAACATGACTGAATGTCAGACTTTAATCAAAAACACAACCATGAAGGAAAGAAAATCTAAACAATAACCTGGCTGAATCAATTTCTATGAAAGCTTTTCTTTGACAATTACTCTTATGTTTAAGATAAAACTGTGTACTCTATTTAATAAGTATTAGTCTACTGTATCAAAAATTTTAAGTACTGTCAGCTTCGTTGTGGCTGCACTATTTCCTCTGAGCCCTCTTTTTTGCTTACCTGGCATATCACTGTAGGAACTGGCCGAGACGTTGCGAGAAGAGCTGGCACTGGACTGAGCGGGCATGCTGCCTGCCACAGAGTGCAGGACCAGGATGATGGCGTTGACAAGGGCTGGGTGTGAACTGATTAATCTATGATACAGACAGAACAAACACAAATTAAAATGACCTTCCATTTGCGCGCATGTATACTTGCTTTTTATATGTCGCATCAGAACCGATAAGAAAGACGAGCAGCACTCACACATCCAGCATGTTAGAGTCTGTGAACTGCACAAACAGATCTTTGTCTTGGAGCACCCCTGAACAGGTTAAAGAAAAATGTTTCTATTTGAATACTGCATGATGTCATGAATGGTACAATGGTGTGATGGTAAAACTGAGTGGGTCTTACCTAGAGCCACAGGGTCGGACCTAAGCCCTGGTGTAGCCACAATGATCTGATCCAGCGACTCTCTATTTGTTAGCATTTTATATACCTAGAGGTGAGGAAAAGACAGTACCGTAAGTGGCATTTGCACTGCAAATGCAGCAGCATCAGGAACAGCAGCTGTATGCAACACTAAATATATGATGCAGAAAACATACTGTATGCAGGTAAATGGTTTTGATTTCTGAGTGTAAAGTGCATTCTGATACTTATGTATCCATGTGCATTTCTTTTAGAAATCTCTTTTAAAGGTAACATTTTTGACATAATTAGCCCTCTGTTTCTGTTGGGGACAATCTCTGACCAACCCCTTGTTTACTGTGGTCCTTTTTACACTAAAATGCAGCTAGGGTGATCCAATCAGAAGTAAAGAGCTGCGAGCACAGGCGTGACCACATCCCAGTGACAGCGCAGAAGAATCCAATTACTCAAGCCCAGTAGTCTCCAGGTCAAGGAT